CCCTATAGCAAAAACCTCTTAAAAAAAAAAAAAAAAAAAGAAATGATAAGATTATACAAACTAAGACAAAAACCATATATATCAAAAGACATAAGAGAGGGACATTGATACGTTTGAGGGTTTGAATGTCTGTAATATTTATAAAAATACCTATGAAGCGTAAAGAGAAACATTGCTAATAACCTACCAGAAAAAGGACAATGGACATGAGTAGTAAGACTTCACAAATGAAAATTTGCAATAATTAAAAGAGAAAAATCTTCAGCCTTACCAGCAGTTAATAAGTGTAAGTTAAAGCAGTAAAATGTGACATACTTCTAACTGAATTTTAATATGTTTCTTTGTAAGACGCACAAGGCAATGTCAATTGGAAGACAAGGTCGAGTACAAGTTGAAGATATCGTGTTTTTGATTCGAAAGGATCCACGGAAGTTTGCAAGGGTTAAAGACTTGCTTACTATGAATGAAGAGTTGAAACGAGCTAGGAAAGCATTTGACGAAGCAAACTATGGATCTTGACACTTTTTGTACTTTCTGACATTTCATTATCTTTTGGAGAAACTGTTCGTATTGGCTGTTTTCTACAGTAAAGGTCCTGATACCTAGCTATGTAAATGAAAGTTGCAAAAACACAAAGTTTACAGTTTTATTTTTATGTCTTGGGTTTTAGAGTGATATTTGAACCTTGAACCTGTCTTTAAGTGACCATGCTTAATTTCTTATTGGATTTTAATGACCACACATTAGTTAAAATACCTTGCAAGCCGTGCAGTTCCTGTTAACTTTGAGTATCCAAAGGATAAAGTCGTGTTTATATGTTGGGTATATTTGGGCCACTGTAAGCTATACTGTAGGTGTTTAACATGTGAAATCTAAATGACGTCTTTGGCGGCGATAGTTGACATATGTGCTTCACGTATTCTGAAGTTTTTAGACAATAGTAGTCTGAGAGGCCAATAAAGATAATAAATTGGTTTGTGTTTCCTTTAAAGAGATGATATATGAAAATACAGTTTTTTGTAAGAGTGTTTGTCTTAAAAGATAATATTCCATTTTTCAGATCATGGAAGTTATTTTATTTTATTTGGATAAACTAGAAGTGCTTCAGTGTTGGAAAGCTTTTTTGATTTAAAACCTTTTGGGGATTATAACATATTACTTGTTAAAATTTAGGAGAACTCACTCATTTTCCCATATCAGATTAAAGCTTCTAAAAAAGAAATGCTTTCAGTAGCAAGAATGACATTGCTTAAAAGGCAGGATTAACATTCTGGGAGTGTCTTATTAACATATTTGTACTTGTTCATCGTGAAAAGCGTACTTGACTAAAAATGTATGTGGCTATGAAACTACTTTTGTAGTTCAGGATATACAAGTTTTGTGTGTGTTTAGCTTATTGTATTAAATTATTGCACTTAACCTAAAATAAGGATTAAAATTGCATTTAAAGAGATCACCGTTACTCATTGTGGAACTGAACTTTTTGTGTGCCATTTGCAAACATTATGAATCAGTGTTTGGGAAACTTTTGCTTTCTCAGCCTGTTAATAAAACGAATAAAGTATGAAGAAATTAGACAGAGTAATGGTTGATTGACTATGACTTCTAGCTTCCCTCCACCCCAGAATATATATATATATATATATATATACACACACAGTGTGTGTGTGTGTGTGTGTGTGTGTGTATATAATTATTTTAACTTTATTTTAATTTGACCAGAGAGGGACAGAGTGAGAGAAAGAGAAAGTGAGAAGGCAAATCGCCAGGTCCGGGATTTGAACCACAATCATCCATGTGGGAGCCCCGCACCCTTAACCACCACGCCACCTGCCAGCTCCTTCCCCCAGAATACTATGCCCACTACTGGTAATTAATTGTAAGTGCTTTATCTAGCTAAAAATGTTTTCTATTTTCTTCTTATAGTGCATCAGATAGATAATGAACTTCAGTGCATAGCTGGGTTGATCTTTTTGATACTTAAAAAAGTAAAAACCTGGCCAGCAGGTGACATGAAAGTTAAGGTACAGGATTCTGCATGGCTGTCTACTGTGGTTTGATTGCTTCACCTGACTGCATGAAGATCCCACCAGGCACAAGTGTGTGCATGTCCAAATCTAGAGAGTAAAAGGGAGAAGGGATTGTGGCATGGCCACCCCCTTGGAAGGGAACTTCTTCCTTTCCCTCTGTCTCTCTCTGCCTCTGGAAAGTGCATGTTCCCTATAGCAAAAACTGGAGAAAAAAAAAGAAAGAAAGAAAACCTATTAAAAAGCTACCCCAGGCTGAGCTAAAATCAGTAATGACAGTAGGGACTGGCCTCATAAGGTAGTGGTGAAGAGTGGATTGAGTCTACATGACCTACTGTGGTTTGAATCTTACCTAGTGGCTTGAAAGACACACCTGCCATTTATGTGTGCATTCCCAAAGCTTGACAGGATGGAGAAATGGAGAAGGGACTGCATGTGGCTATGCCCCATGTGGCGTGCTTGCTTTCTCTTTCTGTCTCTGGCGAGCACATGTGTCCTTTGGCTTTAACTGGGATTTTGGAAAAGTCATGACTTTTAATTTTAAGATTTATTTATTTATTCATTTAATTTAACTTGACCAGAGAGAGAAGGAAAGTGAGAAAGTAAGCCACCAGAATCTGGTATTGAACTGTGGTTGCCCATGTGGGAATGTCCAGCGCGTTAACCACCATGCCAGTCATGACATGTTTTTTTTCTTTTTTTTGAGAGGTTTTTGCTATAGGGCATGTGTGCTCACCAGAAAGACAGACAGAAAGCGAAAAATAAGAAATCCCTCCCCCCCCGGGGGATGGCCACACCACAATCCCTTCTCCTTCATTCTCTTCTCGTGATCTTGGGCACGCACGCACACTTGCTTGGCATGAGTTTAAGCCACTGGGTCCAAGACTCAAACAGTGGTTGACTACATGGGAGTCCAGTGACGTAGCCATTACACCATCTGCTGGTCCCCATGACATGTTTTTATATGCAAAAATGTGTCATGACTTTTCTGACAGCCCAATTAAAAAAAAAGTGGAATAATTAGAGATCAACATATCACTGTTTTTGCTAATCAGGACCTTCATTCATCCTGAGAAAGGAACTGGTAATTACAGGCACTAGCCCAATTAAAAAAAAAGTGGAATAATTAGAGATCAACATATCACTGTTTTTGCTAATCAGGACCTTCACCCTGAGAAAGGAACTGGTAGTAACAGGCACTGGAGGAGTTACACTGGGGGACGTCTGGTCTGTATTACTGACCTTGGGCAGAGGGGTACTATATATGTACTGGTTGACATGAGTCATGTCTTTTGAGTGTCTCACCATTCTGTTAAAGGCCCTGGTATGTGAGAATTTTTATTTATAGGACTTTGTATTAAGACTTTTTTAGGTTGCAAGTGATAGAACTTAAAAATAACATGAGCAAAAAATGGAACTTATTGGTTTGCCCAAGTAAAACAGGAAAGAAGGGATGGAACTGATATCAGGGGTGACTGGAT